TGCTGGGCTCCAGCGATCCTTCCGCCTCAACCTTCCAAGTAGCTGGAACTACAGACGCGCACTACCATGCCTGGCTAGTTTTTGTGATTTGTTGTAGAGACGAGGTCTCACCAAGTTGCCCAAACTGGTCTCAAACCCCTAGGCTCAGACAGTCACCTTGCCTCAGCCTCCCAAAGTGCTGGGAATATAGGCTGAGCCACCACGCCCAGCCTATTGCTGTCATTTCTAATGAAACTTTCAGAAAAATAGTAAGGAACCAGGTGCAGTGACTCACGCCTGTAATCCCAGCATTTTGGGAGGCGGAGGTGAGAGGATTGCCTGATTCCATGGGTTCAAGACCAGCCTGAGCAACTTGGTGAAACCTCGTTAGTCTCTGCAGTAAATCAGAAAATTAGCCTGTAGTTCCAGCTACTTGGAAGGCTGAGGTGGAAGGATCACGAGCCCAGCAGGTTAAGGCTGCGGTGGCTGTGAGCAGCATGCCACTGCATTCCAGCCTGGGCGACAGTGAGACTCTGACTCAAAAAAAAAAAAGTAGTAGGCAAACATAATATACAGTGTTAGTCTTGGACATTTTACAAGTAAATGAAGTTTGTACTTTATTGTGTTGGGTTGAGGTGAATCACTGATTCAGCTACTTTTACAATGAAATCATTGTATATTTAGAAAGATACCTTCATCATCTTTATCTTTAGAAATACACCTTCTAGGCCAGGCATGGTGACTCAAGCCTATAATCCCAACACTTTGGGAGGCAGAGGCAAGAGGATTGCCTGAGCCCAAGGGTTCAAGACCAGCCCAAGCAACTTGGTAAGACCTCGTCTCTACAATAAATAAAAAAATTAGCTGGGCATGGTGGCATGCACCTGTAGTTCCAGCTACTTGGAAAGCTGAAGTGGGAGGATCGCCTGAGCCCAGCAGGTCAAGGCTGTGGTGACTGTGAGCATGCCAGTGCATTCCAGCCTGGGCAACAGAGTGAGACTCCAACTCAAAAAAAATACAGCTTTTAGGTGATTTATGTTCAAAACTATTTTACTTAAGAAAATTATATTTGAGATAAGGAGCTAGATATGTATCACTCAGCCTTTACTTTCCGGATCTTGCTTTAATATGGAGTACACATTTTGGTCAGCTCCTTTATACATTTAAAAAAATGTTTTATACATGGCCAGATCCCCTGTGTGGGGTGGCCTAAGATTTTCCAGTGCTGCCTGAGGCTTGGGAGATAATTGTGTCTAATTCTGGAGTATGGCATAAGAGAGGCTTCTTCTCCACAGATATGAACCATATATTCAATACTAGCTTTACTAGTTGTAGAGATTTTTTTAAATTTCTTTTTTGTGTTTATTAGTACTTTAATGAATTCCAAACTCAGATGGAAAAAATTGGGGTATCCTCATACCCTCAACAGGGAGAAAAAGTAAAATTGTTTTCTGTTTGTAATTTATACACTTCAGCTTTTTCAGTAAATAAGTTATAGTTCAAAAAATCACTTTATGCATATGTTTCTCCCATGCCCAAACTTCCCTCTCTCTCTCCTCA